CTCCTGACAGTCGTTACCAGTGAGTGGAGTGCAGGCAGAGCAAGGAAAACCTGCTTGCAATTGTGTCACACTTGTAACACGCAAAAGCCAGGGCTGAGGAGGATTTGAAGATAAACAAAACACTTGTTTTCCAAGCCCAAAAGCAGTTTGACAAGATATAAGTTACAAAGAGGCCATCTACAAGCCCTTACTGTGGTTGCACAAGGACACGCGTTCAGAAAAGAGAAGATGGTGTTACCAGACTGCCAGGACTGTAAGAGCAAAATCAGGCCCATTTGACAGTGCCATGAATTTCTAACACTCAATATGCTTAAGAGCAGACACATTTTCTTAAGCCCTATTTTTCTCTTCCTGCCTTCAAAAATTCCAGCATTTCCCACACATTCCCATTTGACTGTCCTCCCGAAAGACAGGTAACAGTTCTTGGATTTTGACAAGAGGAGACGGAAAAATCCAGCAATCTAAGCACTCAATATGCAATTCCGTTACATGCTTTTCAAGCGACTACATAAAATTCACACTTCAAACAAACAAGCTGGGAACCTGCACTTGAGAATGAACTATAAAGCTGCGAGATCAAGACTTGTTGCTAGTGATGGATAAATAAGAGGTGTTATCCTTCTGTAGACTCTGTCAGTCAGAGGCACCTGGGCACCAAGTGCCCACGGGCACACAGGCACATGGGCTGAACTAGGAGAGAGATGCCAAGGACACAGAGTGTCCTGTATGTCCATACTTTCCTGTATGTACTCTTGCCAGGATATAAAATGCAAGGCAATAACCAGCTTCTTCATTTTCTACTCCACCTCAAATCCACCCTGGTTGGGAATTCTGAAAAAGCAGGGAATTGAACAATTAATGAAGCAAACTGCATCTCACACCCTCAGTTCAGCCAGTAAGTAATGAGACTTGGAAGTTACACACCAGTGTGAACCACGCTCTAGCTGGGCCCTGGAGAATGAGGTATCTCAGTCAAGCAGAAACTGCTCTCCTGAACGAGGCTCAGGCCACGGTGCTTGCATCCAAAGCGAGGTTTGAGGAGATTCCAACACTGCCATCTCCTAAGTGTGTTACTGGCCTGTTCCTGAAGCCGTTGGAGGAAGAAGAGTGTTTGTGTTCTTGTTAAACATGCCCTGAGGTTTTGCAGGAAGAGAGGGAGAGAAAGAGATAGCATCCAGCTCACGTAAACAGAGCTAAAACATATCAATTTACTTATTTCTTAGCTCTTGAAATAAGATGAATTGGACTGAGGAATGTATGCTTGACTAAAAGTGGATAGATGGGGGTTCAGACCTGTCACTGTAAGCACTGGCAATGCAAAATAATAACAATAATCATCATCATCATCCTGAATCTGCATTATTATTGCCTTTCCACCTGTACAAAAAGCAGTATCAAACTCTCACCTCATAAGCTGACACCTCAAAGTTATTTGGGAACAAGTCCTGCACAAAGTCACAGCAGCAGCTTGTCCCTAAGAAAACAACACATGCAGAGGACCAGCCACACAAAGTCTTCTGCAAATGCCTAACCATGCACCTCTTCTGAGGCAAGGGAGAGCCACTTTAAAGATCATATTCTCCACAATGGAAGCTCCACACACTCAGAGACACGCGAAAAAAAGCTCTGGAGCCCTCAGGACAGCGCTGGGGTGTCCCAGGCACACTGGAGGGTTGGGAAATGCACAGTCACAGAAAGACGTCACCCAACACCAGGTGCCAAGAGTCCCTAGATAAACAGACACATGAAGCTGCAAAGAACACCCCTCAACTCAGACAACAGTCCAGGCAAGGCAGCACCAGAAACTCAGATTTGCTGCTGTCATCTGATTTCTGCTTACGCAAAGATCCACCTCTTCCATTATTTCCCTCCAATAAAACAAGCTGCCTCACTTAGCATTTTCCTGCCCGGGATCCAGAGACGTTGGATGTCTGAGAAATAGCTTCTCCCGTTACTCCAATAAAACAAGTTGCCTCATTTAGCATTTTCCTGCCCTGGATCCAGAGACGTTGAATGTCTGAGAAATAGCTTCTCCCGTTACTCAGGCATCTGCCCTGCACTTGCCAAGGTCTGGCTTTTACCTGAGAAACCAGCCAGACCTGAACTAGAGGCTACCCACACATCTAGAGGGGTCTGGGGGACACCAGTGCCTCCACACCACGCTAGCAGGACAGCCTAGCTTGAGTTTTTCTGCTCCTACAAACCACTGGAAGCATCAGAACTGCTACTGGAAAAGCGCAGAACTGGCCTCTTCCACACGAGGCAGAGGAACACGACCTGTCCAACCCCTGGGAATGAAAGTGCAGCTTGTTGCCATGCCAGAGGCAAGCACCAGCTGTGAAGGTAGCCAGCAGTGAAATACTTGCTGCAGTTGCAGTTTGAACAGAGACTGCAGAGCACTGATCAAAAGCCATGAGTTCAAGAGGTTCTCAAGAGCTTGTACAGATCCCAGCAGATGGAGGGTTGGCCAGCCTCCTTTGTGAAAAAACAGAGCCCCAGGGTCACTTCAACACAGCTGCCACACTAAGGAACTCCGAAACAGCCAGCTTGCAGGCAAAAGGACACAACGTCTCCCCATGGCTTCTTCCTCAACATTTTCCCTAAGGCCTTCTTCCCATGAAGCTGGACACAGGAGGCTCCTTCCAAAATGTCTCATGTCCTCTCCTCAATCCCCCTTCCATGGTTGATCTTTAGCCTTCCAAGGCTGTTCTACCAGTCAGCCCTCTTCTCTCGCTCTATTTCTACATACCCTCTTTTAACACGGTCTAAAAATTGCTCTACTAGAGATAAATAACAGAAGAAAAACACAAGTTAACAGAACCCCACTTCATACACAGACAATATTTGCAAACTTTCAGGGAACACACTTATAAAACAAAAAGATATGAAAATCTTTTTTTCTTGAAAAATTGCCCACACCAAAGAAAGAGATCCACCCATACTTTTTCTTGCTTTCCTCTGCTCACAAGGGAAGGGCAGCTACTGAGAGTAATCTGAGGGGCTGACTTGCCTGAAGACCACAAAACCACCTGCTCCTTTCTAGACAGTCACATTCAAGTGAGAAAAGGTGAAAGTTTCAGCTGTTCGTGTATTTGCTTCAGAAGTCCTTCAGTTTGGTTCAGGAATTTTCTTGGCACCATCCTCAACTTCCAAAAGCCAAAGACTCCCTGCTATTAGTCACCACTTTTCCTTGTGTTTGCATGTTTGCTTATCGCACATCTGGACTATTTGGAACAAAGGAAAATGCTCAAAGGATTGAGAGAAAAGAAGGAACAAGAGCAAGAGAGTTTAGACTGATGGTCCTTCCAGCTGTAAAACTGCGATACTTTTTGAAAAGTTACACTTGCTTCTTGACGACTCTTTTCCAGATGCTGCCTCTGTCCTATTTCCAGAGGCCGGAAGCTGCCAGAGATCCTAGAGGGCTAAAAAAGGTGCATCTGTGGGGAGAGCAGTGCACTAACAGAGGGACAGACAAGAATAAGCCTGAAATTGCCAATTCAACGCTGTTTAGGTGCACATTTGAAGCGGAAGTGAGAAAGAACCGCAGCAAAAGAAACAACGAGAAAAGGAATGAAAATAAAGCAGCACGTGAGGAATAAGAGAGTGTAGGCTTACAGTGTAAGCTGCTCGAGAATAGGAAAGCAGGTTGCAAATTTGGAATAAAGAGGAAAGAAAAAGTTACACCTATCATTACCACCAGCGTAAATAAAGTTACATATGCTCAAAACAAACAAACAAAAAAACAAAACTATATGCTCAAAACAAACAAAACACTCACACTCCACTTTATCTTAAAAAAGAAGAAAAAAATAAATCAAGGCAATCCACTACTACAGATGGCATTGCTACCCAATACACTGAAGCAAAACTTCTATTATTTGGTTAGTTTAGTCTGCCATTCTAATTAGAGGGGAGGGGGTGGGCGGGAGGGAGGCATTTATTTGTCTTACACAGAGGCACTGTTATTAACAGTAAGATAACTGCCTATAAACACATTTCCATTGTGGTTTTCTTTGGAGTATTTTTTTTCTGATAAAGCTACTATTATACTGAACATAGTTTATAATACGTTCATAACACCCAAGTTGTTCATTCCCACAAACGATGCTACGAGTGTGGAATTTTTCCTCATCCTTTCAATAACATTTTCTTGGCTTCTTCTTCTGGGAAAAATATTTAGGCAACAACTTCCCTTTAGTGCAATATATATAGGCCCACTTGAGTTATTTCATAAAGTTCAACATGCTGTGCTGCTTTTTCACTCTTCTAGTTCATGATGAATCTCAGATTTAGCTTTTTAGATGTTACTGTTGAGCAAAAGAGAAGGTAAAGTCAGTTGTACTAAAGTTGGTCACATTCTGCCATCCACTTGTTAGAGACCATGACCAGAAACAGAAGAGTGATGACAAAAAAAAAAAAAAAGTCGCCTTTCCTGGGCAATGAAACTTTTTTTCTGGAGCAGCAGAGCATCTTCTCTTCCTAGAAAAACACTGGACCTTTCAGTTAGAGCAAAATAGTTTGCGCTCTATAACAAAATGTTCATTTGTGGTTACACTGAGCAGTACTGGATCTGAAAGGGAGCCCACTGGGCTTCTTCACATATTTCTTAGAGAGTAACATGACAGATAAATCACAGCTTTCTGCAATCTATGTAATTCTAATTCTATGCATTTACCAGAACGGTTTTTCAATAAGGCTTGTACATTTATAAAGCTATTACACTTAAACAAATGCTCTTTGTACACAGATCCCTGCTTTATGACCATAGAGCTGTTTGGTTTTGTTTCCCTCCCCGCCCCACTTCCAGATCAGCAGGACTACAACTACAGATTAGTATTTTATTATTAGCAAACTTCTAATAATTTTAAACTCCATTTTACATCTGATTTCTTGCTGTAAAAATGCAGGCTCTCTAGAGAACAGGATCTAACACTTCCCAAACAGCAGCAGTGTTCGGGTTAACAGCCCCATCCGCTAGCACGACCCGAGGGCGCCCTTACCCCAAACGGTGGGTACGAAGCAGCAGCAGCAGCTGAGGCGACGCTCACGGCGGGAGGTGGGATTCCTGAAGAAGAAGGTGGGAACAGACCCAAGGCATTCAGATTTAATCCAGGAATTAAATGTGCTTGAAGCTGCAATGGAAAAAGAGTTATTTAAGCTTTAAAATTCAGGTCATTAAGCATGATCAGAATCCTACTTGGCATAGGCTACTAGGGCCTTTTGAAAAGGTGTAAGTATATTCTTTCAAAAAATTACTTGAAATCTCCTTTCCCCCAAGAACTCAACTTCAGCTTTATTCTCTAGACACAGACCAATAATATTAAAAATATGGCGTGGAAGGAAAGGCAGCTAGAAATCGCTTGCTGCAACTTAATTAAGTGAAATGGAGCACAAGCTTGTGACAAGCAAACCAGGCAACAGGGCAACCTTTAGTTTCCACATTCAGAGCGAATAAAATTATCAGAGATAACCATCATTTTGGCTTTGTACTCAGAACCACCCAACAGCCCGTAGAGGCAGAGAAACCTCATTCACAAGCCCTGATCTTTTGCATATCCCCTTCCATAACCTTTTCCTCCCTCCCATATCCTGTCTCAGAAAAAGATAAAGGGAAAAGATCCCCAGTGTGTGCTCTGGCAAAGCGTCAGCTGTGAAGTTGTGCAAAATTTTGCTGAAGCAAAAGCTCCCTGGGCTCTCAAACACATCACTGCAGATCCCCGTGCACTTTGGGCACTGCACGTTGTCTCACAGGAGGGGAGGGAGGGAGGGAAAAGTGGTGGGGAGAATACGTGGTCAGTACAGAAGCCCTAAGAAATGGGCATTTCCGAAAAAACATGGACTGATGGAAATTAAAATAATGATAATAATCCAGGCTGATTCCTGACCATATCATTTGATTCTACAGATGTAGACACACGAAGTGCTTTTCACAGCCTGTCAAAAATCTCAGCCATTTCCCAATGTGAGCTTGTAGTACTTCAGGGAGCTGATGAGGTGTGTTGCTTTTACTATATAATTTGCAATCATCTCTGAATAACTGAATGACTTTATCATCTTTATCAAGAAAAGCCCTTAATATAGCCTTCTTAAATTAAATAACCGAAAGCAGGAGTGTTCCATCCTCTGTATGTTATGCTTTTAACACCAAGAGACTGAAAATCACTGCTTAGAGGAACTTACACAAACTGCAGCACACAAACCACAATTATATATAAACACACATTCCTTTCAGGTTTCTGCAACAACAAAAAGTGAAATCCTCGTTCATTTCTTCAATCTAAGTCAATTTCTCAGTTCCTCTACTTAAAGCAAAACAGAGGAAGCCTTCACTAAAAAAATAAATAAATTAAAAGGTAATAAAAATAAAGCCCACACCTAACCCCCAGGAATGACTACAGGAAGCAACTGACATTGCAACAGCGAAGTTACAGCTGGATATCAGAAATTTTCGCAACAAGAGCGGTCCAGGTAGCACAGGCTGCCTGGAGAGGCTGTGGACTTTCTGCTCCTGGTGATATTCAGGCCTGGAGAGAAAAGGCACTGAACAGCCCTGCTTGACTTTGAAACTGGCCCTGTTTTGAGCAAGCCCCTCACTGGTCCAGATGATATCCAAAGCTCCCTTACACCCAAGTTATTCCAAATGTGATTTCCAAAGAGGGGCCGTGCCATAAGACTACTCACATTCATAGCAGCAATATCATTTTCATAGGATTCCCTGATTTTCTTCATAATTTCTTCCTCAGCCTTGGCACAAGTTTCAATACTGCCTTTAACTGTAATGGTCCGTTCTGGATTATAGAGTGTCAAGTCCTGCAATCTACAGACAAAACAGAAACACAGTTAATTAGCAGGTAGCAGCCGTTCACCCGGGTTTACCAGTTGAGAGTGATGACATCCCAATATGTCAGGTTTGCCCTCCAGACAGCGCACAAGCAGTTTACAACAGAGCTCACACACAGTCCTCGGAGGATCCGGAGAAACTCTGCCCTTGCAGCAGGCTCCGAAACCACCACCCTGCAGATCAGCAGCGCATGGGGGAGACGGGCTTGGATGCAACACCTGGCCAGATGCTCCTCCAAAGGGAACAAACCCTGCGCTGCCAGAGCAGGAGCTGCAAGGCAGCGAGCGCGTCAGCGCTGTGCTCCAACCAGCCCTGCTCACGTGGGACATGGAATAACGTGGACGTCCCAGAGCACAGGCCTGCAAGGCGCTTTCTTGCCCTGGGAACACCAGGGATTCCTGAAGGAAGGAGAGGAAAATGCCCGGGCCTCAGTGACGCTGCAGGAGAGCCTCCAAATCCTCCCCACGGGAGGAACGTAAAGCTGTGTGCAGTTCAGCATTTGCTGTGAAACACTAGTAAGGGCTTACAGAAAACAAAAGGACTACAGCATCAAAATCTAGTGCTTCCTCATGTAACAAATGCTGACCATTCCATGATAAGATGGAATAGACTGACTGGGAAACCATGACATATTCGTGAACTGAGAAAAGGTGAGTTGAGGAAGGAACTAAAAAAATCCTAAAAAACAGAAACAACAGCACAGAATGCAAGAGAAGTGAGAAAAGCCATGGCAGACAGGAAAGGGAGAAAATGCAGCATGCGAGTTTCCTTCTCTTTGCGTGGCAGAATGTGTGGCAACCTGCACGTCTCAGCCAGGCAGCAGCAAGCACGAAATGCATCCACAAAGCAATCCTGAAGTGTGCGAGCACTGAGGTACTACACCAGGAAGGAAAATGGTGGAAATCACCCCAAATAAGAGAGGGGAAAGCTTCCCAAATCAGCTGCCTTACTTTAACTTTATGGGCAAGCTTATCAAAAGCCTAAACAAAGAGATTAGGAAAAAGACTAATTAGAAGAAGCAGAATCAGGGGCACATATGCTCTTTCATCTACTAGGTACCAACTGAATCAGGCAACTCCGTGGAGTTATTTCAGTCACAGCACAAGCAGCACGATCTTGAGCCCCAAAATTTTAAATGTACAAAAACCATTAGCTTGTTAAATTAAAAATTGCTCTGCAAGAGCGCAGAAGCAATGTGTTAATTATGTCATTATCAATAAAGTTAATTGTCATGAAATGAAGACCATTACCCCATTTACTCTGTAAATATATATTTATATTTTTCCTTTAAGACATCATTAACAGTCTGTATATCGTTTGCATACAAAATATTTATGCCAATGTATTTAAGTGATCAGGCTTATCTTACAAAACTTTTCTTGAAATACACTTGCCATCTGGGTGATTTTTCCCCCAGTTGATCCACTTTTCTCCTTCCAACTATTTCTATCAACATTGACATACCTTCAAGAAGTCCTCAGTTTCCTTCATCTGATTCTGAATTTACTGTTTTTGAAGGATCTCATTCACTCCTGGCTTCTTTGCCTTCATTTGAGCTGTCTTCTGTGCTATGTATGGTTGTCATCTCCTTCATTTAATCCCATCTCTTCCTACACTGCCTTCCAAACTTGCTCCTTTCTGTAAGGCCTATATATTCCTTATTTTTCCCCTCCTGGCTAAAGCTAAAGTCCAGGCTCCTGACAAATACTTGGAAGATTACACAAAGCGTTACTCAAAGCACATTGTTTTCTGAAGTTATCACTCCAAGGTAAGGCCAAGCTTTTCCAGAAAAGTTTTGTCTAATTAATGATTTTCCCCATACATTCTCCTTGATTTGCAGACACAATTTCCAGTAAAGGTGAAAACTTCTGCCCAATCCCAGCTAAATTTAATCAATCTCAGGCATCTTTGCAAATCCACAGACCGAGAGCTATTACTTTGTAGCAGAAGACTACTCGACACATCCCCGTTTGGCTGCTAGAGGCCAACAGAGAAATGGACAGAATTACCATCAAAACACTCCTTTCAGCACTCACTCACTTTGTTTCCCTTCCCCTTGCTCAAAAGTCTAACTTACACCAGAAACTAATCATCACTAGTTTCACTCATTTTCACTTATAACTCAGAACTGATCCAGGCTTATAATCTAAAACACTCTTCCTTGTGTAGAATATGTTATATTAGAAATAGCAAGCATTTAAAATATAGTCTAACAGAGGTTTCACGTAGCCCACAGTGTTTTGGGAGTCACTCTTGACTGAATAACTCTTCTTTACAGGAAGACTTACCACTTACAGTGATTTAACTGAACTTAACAGTTTAGTTCAGAATATGGAACAGGACCTGTTACCACAACCTTCAAAACCCCAATATTATTTTTATAAGAGCTTTATATCTGCATGCTCTACAGTGGCATTGCTGCCAGTTCAGACATCACACCGGAAGACTAAGCCACAAAACACTTACGGAGATATTGTGATTTTAGTATCTGTGTCCTGCTCAATTTTCTTCAGGTTTCGTCCTTCTTTGCCAATAAGTCGGCCAACAAAGTTGTTATGTGCCAATATCTTCAAGGGAATTTCTTCTGTACTGTAATGAAAGTTGCAACCGGTCAGAATGCTGGAGACCAGAGTAGAAACTTTTTTGAATACTACAGAGAAATTCTATTTGCCTACAAATATCACTCCCATTCACTTGCACCTGTTTAAACGAGATGCAGTGTGAATGCAACTGCAATGTGTATTTCAGCACAATCATCTAAAGATTCGCCATAACATATCTGCTAAATAAAAGCTTGGTGAAGCAGCAAAAGCCGTTGGTAAGGAAGTAATATTCCTTAGACATTCTGGGAAGGACTCACAGCTTGTTGTGCTCACTCTGATTAAAAGCAGCTAGTTATTCAAGAGACTTCAGGGTTGGCTCCAGTTCTCCTCAGCATCACAGCCAATCAATGGCTGGAAATGTAGAGAGGTGCTGGGGCTGGTTAAGCAAGTACGTGGTCACTAAAAGCAAGTCTTGGTTCTTGCACCTCATTAAATTTGGCTAATAGCAGCAAAGAGTCACTTCACAGCAGACTTTAAAGACTACATCTCTGAATGCAGTCAGCAAGAGCTCAGAATTTTGAATCCCTTCACAAGGAAATGCCTTTTACTCACAATTTAGTATCTTGAGCTTCCTTTTGCATGATCTCCATAATAATTTTACAAGCTGTTGAGCAGCCTTCAGGAGTTGAGTGGATGGTAATTGGTTTCTCAGCAGCACCTGCATTCTCTTTACGATGAATATCAATTCTTGAAAGAAAGAAAAACACTAGTTGTAACCAGGAATTGTACAGTGATTCTTGCATATTTCCAAGTCTAACAACAAAAAATGGAAATAATAATGACCACATTTAAGTGGTTTCAGTTCATGAAATACCAAATTATTTAAAAGTTACCTAAATATTATTTTATTTTATGAAGAACTTCCACCTATCCTGATTTTAGCAGCTAAACCCCACCTTTGTGGACACTGGGATATCACCTTTCCCCCCATCCCAAATTCCATCAAGACTTTTAGAGAAGGCAATAGACCATCTCTAATACACCACTGAGGACAACATTTCAAATTTCCCCAGTATTCCTGAAGTTCGTCACCAGTCCCATCACCCCACTAATAACCAATACACTGGTAATGACTGTTCGGGTAGGGTACAATGACAGTCTTGTCTCACCCTGGCTTTTGTAACCACCTCACTAGCAGAGTTCCCTAGCGCTCCATTAGCTAGTAGTGTAGCAGGACTTATATTCATCCCCAAAATCGTGTCCTATGCTTCTAAAGCCTGAAGTTGGTCCTGCCATTCCGTCCCTTCTAGCTCTGCTCTCTGTCTTCTACCAGCCTTGATCTACCCCCTAAGCTTGCAAAGCCTCAGAAATTTAACAGGATTAATCATGGCCTGCAGCAAGACATTGCTCTGGGTACTATTTGGGCCCTCCTCATACCTGCAGGACACGCGCCTTCCACTTCTGCTTTTTCCTTTCTCCCCTCATTCCCCACTGCCAACCACAGCTCTTTCCCAGAGTTAACAGCTATCTTAGCTGCTCTTTAATAAGCCCCTTGATTTTTCCAGTTCTTTCTGATGTTGAGAATTCATTTTGTTTCATAATGCAGCACTTCATGAGAAGCCCAAAGCACCTTTTGGTGTTGAGAAGGAGATCAGGTTTTTCATGCCCCAGTACAACAAAACCACCATCCATGAAGTCCCAGATCTGTGCAGTCAGCAACCTGCAATTGCTCCTGTCCTAGTCAGCCTGCTTTTAGGAGACAAGCACTTTCCACGTGCCAATCTTCCAGGTCTTTTCTAGGCCAAGAATTAGAAGCTTTAGGTATCACCTGAAAATTGATTTCCTATAGGCAAACTACAACCAAGTCTTGTCAGGACACCACAAATCTCTTAGATCAGTGCCATTAGGACGCAGCAAACACTCTCCTGGGTCATCATGTGCTGACGAGAGGGTGAAAGCAGCCACACAGCAATGCTGCTTTGAAAAAGGAGCACCCCCATCCCTACCGGCACCCTGACAAGGGGAGCTGCAGCCCCTCGCAGCTCCCACGCAGCCACCCTGCACCGGTGCCCGGCGCTGCTGACGGAAGATTTCGGAGCTCCCGGGGTGTCCTGCTCAGCGGGATCCCACCCTCCCTCTGTGTTGGTGCTTATTTCTTCCCTAGGGGCTGGGACTCACTGCAAACCTTCTCCTTCTGCACCCCTGGACCCCACTGCTCTAAGCTGCTCGGCTCACTTGGCAGTTTGCTTTTTGCCCTCTGTGCATTTTCTTAACCCCTATTTTGCTCCAGTTTTGCAACTCCACAGCAATTAGCTTATTCAGCAGAAATACATAGGGGTGAGGTGCAACCAGCAGGGAGTGAAGACATTAAAGTTTTGCCCCCACCAGCTGAAAGCATTTATAAGTCATAATGATGCTCTGAGCTAAACTCAAGCTGGATCAAGCACCCACGGTGCAGGCATGTCCCCTCCACAGAGCCCGGCAGTACAGCCCGTGCGGTTTCCCTCTGCGCTGCATTCGTGCCCCCATCCCCGAGCTCTCCTGCAGCCAGCGCCTCGCTGCTGGCCATCCAACACATCAGGCAATGAGCCGGGTGCACCCGCTGGATCCCAGCACGGAGCACGCATGTGCTCTCCAGAAAGGACACGTCCATGGAAGCAGAAGCACTTCCTGGGGGCCGCTTTTGTGACAGGAGGACAGACAGACATCAGATCTCTCCCCACAATCAAGATCATTTTACTAGCAAATTTTTCCAATGGGCCCTGGTTTAAGTAAATATTCTAGATTGAGAGGGTAGGTGCGAGGGGAAAAAGAACCCCCATATCACCACAAGGCTCTTATTGTCTCCTAGCAAACTATGCTTGCAAAGTTCACCCCAACTGGAAAAACTGTGCTCCAAAATATCAAGATGGAAAACAAAGAAACAAGCAACACACAAAACAAAAGAAAAAAGCTACACAAGACACCTGACAAAGCCAACACAGTCGGCCATATTTACATTCCTAAGGCAAGATGTTTCCCAATGGTGAGGGGTCCTCCAGCAAAAGAAGACAGCATGATTCTGTGGTCTCTAGAGCCCTTCTTACCCATGCAGAGGCCAGGCAGAAACTCTGCCTTTACATGAAACACAAGGGCAGAGCCCTGGAGGTCACAAGAGCCGGTTCGGAGGAACGACCTACTTGGACTGCGTCTGCTTGGTGATGTTCCTGATGGTGGCTCCTTCCTTGCCGATGATGGCTCCGACGAACTGCGTGGGGACCAGCATGCGCAGCGGGACGTCCGACTGCGGCTTCTGCCTGGCGCCGGCTCCCAAAAAAACCTTCAACGAGTAGTTTTCCAGCTGAAACCCGTTCAGTTTTTCTATTGCTCTGTGCGTTTGCAGAGGGAAGGGAAGGGGAGAGAAAGAAAAAGAAAATAATCACACATGAGACCTTAGGAAATGGAAAATCTCTCAGGTGTAGCCTTCTTCGTGTCCTAAATTTTATGACAAAGCCAAAAATTTGTTCCTAGATGAAAACTTCCATTCACATTTCTTCAAAAAGATTTAGATTACACATCTTTTTTTTCCTTTTTTGTTAAGCTGTCTGTATTAGGACTGCTTGCTCCGGGCTTCTCCGCGCTTAAAAGGTTTTGCCAGCACAACCCTATCAGCGAAACCCACGGGAGACGCAGCTCATACCCTCCAAAGCGTTCTCCTGCCCATTTAATTTAAACCACTTTCCCAAATAGAATTAAAGCTGCACCAGAGGGAAAGGGTTTTTTCGCTGGTATCCCAGCACCTACCTCCGGGTTTTTGCCAGCACAGCTCTGGGCTGGAGCTCTCCTAATAGGCAATTTAGCTGCGACAGTGGGAAACGCAGCTCCCACTCGGCCCTTCGTGGGAAATAAGGTGCCACGAGGCAGCCAGCGGCGCCGGGCGCATTGAGCGGGGCTGGAACACTGCACACCTCACCAGCCACTCCTGCCCAGGAGGCAGAGACATCCCGGGCAGGAGAAAGGACGGAGAGACTCCGAAAGAGGCCCTGTAAACACACCAGGGTGTTCCACTGAACCCAGCGCGCTGGGCTCCTCCAGAAGGGACAGACTTCTGGACGACACGAGGACTTGCTCTCACAAACTGCACGGAATCAATCAGCACAAAGATCCAGGAGCTACCGGAGTAACTACATTGCCTGCAGCCTGCTGGTCAGGCAGGAGCACAAACTGGTGTCTCTGTCCAAGAAAGGCATTCTGAGTTTTGTTAAGTGTCACGTTATTTAGATGGTCAGCACGGTGCTAGTCTGACACCACCAAAACAGATACTGATTTGGGACTATTTGCGAATGCCAAGCCTAGACTTGGACCAAAATTAATAGTGATTTTGTTTACAGACAAAATTTCAATTAAAAATACAAGCAGGAGGAGGGAGGAAGAGGATTTCCACCTCATGTCAAAGAACCTGCCAATATTTTCTTTAAAAAGCTCTAATAAGCCAGCACTTTGGAGTAAGGCCTTTCCAGTCCAGGCACTTAACGCAGTCCCTGGGCTCACATGCATTTGCATGTGGTTATAGACACTTTACCAAGCGCCGCCCTCAGCCACAGCAGAGGATGGAGCTCATCACCTCCTAAACCTGAGTGGGGAGCCAGTTAAAGCAGTGCCCGTCTCCTAGAGATCCCATCGGAAAATAAATCAGGCCTTGGGGTCTCGAAGAGCTGCGGCAATGGAGCAGTAGCTTCATATGTAAGAAGTGATATAAGGAACTAAGCCCCAGCTGTACTGAAGAGGATAACATGTCCTCTCCTCTCCCGGGGAATAAATCCATGCCCGTGACATACTCCAACAGGACAGTAAAGGGCTTAGGAGAAAATGAGTAATTCCTGTCTTTGGAGCGGTGTTTAATAAGGCCTGGCAATAAATAAGGCCTGGGGCAACCCCACCGGACAACAAGGAAAGCAAACTATTGAATAACCCATCACTGCTCATTAAATACCTCTGTTCACCAAATGAGACTTGGGTCCATTGGGGATGGAGTGGGAGGGTAATTGCTCCCTTAATAGGGGAAGCTCTTATAGCACAGAGCAAAAAAAAAAAAAAAAAAAAAAAAAGCTGGATTAAAATTTGTTCAGGTAATTTCCAAGATGAAATTTTGCAAATTTAATCCATTGCATTTGAAGAACATCTTATTACATAGAAAGCTGTGTTTAGGAGAACATGAACAGCAGAATTAATGCCATGTGCTTTCCCACGGATGTGTGTGTCAAGGCTGAGCTTCTGCACAGCTCTCCAAAGCCCGAAAAGCAGTTGGTGAAATCTCTCAGGGGAGATCCCAACTGGAGGAGAGCCCTGGAGTCTCTCACCTTTACGTAACCTGAGCATACTGTTACCTGCTGGTTGGCTGGGAATATACTCGACATCCGCGCTTTTGGGTTACGTTTCACTGTACGTGGCCAACAAGGTGAAGAGCTGCCAAGGCAGGGGACGAGCAGGGCCCTTGCACATGCCCCGCTCCTCTGCGGTCACGGCTCCAATGTCAGACACGGACAGGAGCCACTTCCAGGGAGCGCTGCCAAGCTCTGGGTTCACACTCCTCCTAGCACATTCCCTGCTACATGTTCCTTGGACAAGCTGGGGCGCTGCATCTTTCCCCAAATGCTGCAAGCTTCCCTGGCTCTCAAA